CCCCCAGAGAGCAAATGCTTCCTGCTGCCCTTCATTGTCTGTTTAGATCACATCAATTTAATTTAAAAAAGTTACAAGGGATTTTATTTAGTCAAACCATTTGCCACGTCCATATTTCTAAAAGGCTCCTTGTCTCTCTCAGGACCCAGATTATACAGTGATAATGATCTCTTGGTTAGACATTTACTTCCCGTTAGGAGCCAGCATGGAATAATAATAAAAAGCCCTGCTGACTAAAAATGGACTAGGGGCTGTATTTTTTTTTTAAATCAGTACAAACACCTAACAAAACCCCACCTGAAAAATAAAACATGGAGCTAATTTATGTGCGCAGTGTTATCACCATGTTGGTCCCAGACCATACTGCTCACCCCTGAAACCAATGTCGACCCTCTTCACTTCAACCAGTCCAGGATTTGACCTTTATTGTAGTGAATGCTCTCGTAAAAGCTTTTCTCTCTCATTCACCTTTGGTTCCCAGCTCCACTACTGTCACACCCAGGCCTCAGAAGGGCTGCAATGCCTGTTTGTATCAGTTGGGCTGTGGTTTTGTAAAACAGGGCCTATCCAAGAAGCTAAAAGATTCAGAAGACAAAATTCTCGCTCTTGTTCATGGCAGTAATGATGATCGATGGTGTCTGTTCTCTTTCCTGACTAACACACTTATTGGTGCTTTAGTTTAAGGGCATCTAGTAGGAAGAAGGTTGTTGACACTACTTTGGAATCATGATCAGGTTCAAACTTCCCATCCTCACTTGAAGGTTCCCCATGACTCAGCCCCCACAGATACCTCTCCCCTCATTTCCTCCTCCCTACTTTGCCCTCCTACACTCTTCTCATTCCTCTCTCCTGAGCTGACTGCTCCTTTTGAGGCCTCCTCCCACTCCTGGCCTTGTGTCTTCTTTCACACTGCCCCTGCACTCGGCACAGCCTCCCACTAGCCCTGTGCCAAGCGTCCTCCCTGTCTTCCCCGGCCCACTTCTCTCCTGAAATCTCCTGCGTTGGTCTTGCTGAGGAGATCTCCACATCTGCTTGTGTTTTAAATCCACCCCTGCAATGCAGAGGCCTTGCAAACCTTTGTGTCTAGTTAAGGTTCTATCCCTAAAACAAACACCAATTGCACGTGAACGGCTGCATGGGTTCTGAGGGATAACTGGCTGCAAATTACGGATCACTTTCTCACAGTTGCTTTTATCTGTGTATGTACGTATGTCATGCACAGTGGGAAAGTAGCAATACTGGGAACTACTGCAACTTCAACATCATCACTTCGGCTGGGAGGAAAGAATTGCCGGGCGCTCTAACGAAATTAGTTGAAAGGAGTTGGTGTTGCTGTTCAGCCTGAGATGCAGCCAGTTTCCTCTTGGGATCCCAATTTCAAAAAGAAATTGGCTCCTTTAACAGTCTTGGCTAGGAAGCTTGCAGCAGTGCCAGGCTGGTTCCAACGGCACCTCGAAGAATATCACATCTACCAAAGCTGTGGTAGCTCATGTCAGCCATGATGTTTTTTTTCTCCTGCTCCCACTGCAAGTTTCCATCTGTGTGTGATTATTTCCTCTGCAGCTGGGTGCAGAGACAAATTTTCATACAGACATCTATACTGGGACTCCTTTTCCCAGAGGCAGTGATTCTGCCAAGAGCACTGCTGCTTTGGGCACTGAATCGATGTGGTTCTTCTCAGCTTCCATCGTTCCAAACTGAATTACCCTTTTTCTTCAATGCCAAATATATATATTCATTTATTATGCTGTCCGCTTAAAGTACCAAACTGGAACCTGCTGCAGAAACAGAAGCACAGGAACCTAGGATTTGCCAGACAGATCACAGGTCTGATCCTATCAGTCCAGTATCTGTCTCTGACAGTGGCCAGCACCCAATGCTTCAGAAGAAGGGGCAAGAAACCCTGCAGTGGGCAGATGTGGGATAATCTGCCTTCTGTCCTAATCCCTAATAGTTCGAGATGGTTTTGCAAGCGTACAGTGATCACCTAGATAGTACTCATTTATACTTGTCTAAGCTATCTAACTATGGAAGAACTGCAGAGTTCATAGAGAACTCAACTACACATTTTGTAGGTAACAAAATCTATCTGTGGTATTTGGAGAGTGCCCATCACTGTAGTACATAAATGCTATGAATGGACTAGAAGACCTCAAAGCTCTCTTGTGGTTTATGTATTAGGTGAGGTATGTGTACAAATACAAAGAGCATGCTTGCATCTGGGACTTAAGATGTGTGAAGAAAGTTGGTACAAAGTACTGCACACATAAAGGAGCTCAGAGTTTCTTTGTAAAGAAAGCTCTGACATGCAGAGCAGGCAGAAGGTCTAAAATGAACACACAGCCACATGCTAAAGCAAACTGATGATTTCGTTTTGTTTAAAAAAAAAAAAAAAGACCCCTGGTAAGCAGAATCAGATACTAAGGTACTCGAGGGAGATGGAAGATAGAGAAAATGTGTTAATGAAGGAAAAGAGAGTACTGGAACATCCGCTGGGAGAGAGGAGAAGGAGGAAGGCGTGAATGTTATCAGATGTACTACACCTTCAAAGATATCTAGGGCAAGGAATCTTCAATCTTGCATCAGTTATGAGATTAAAATAGTAGATGGGGATGTGAAAAATCACTTTCAAAGATCCAAGAGGCAATACTAGTCTCGGAGAACCAGAATGAATGTGTCCCACACAGACACCTGTATCCCAGGGACCACCACTCTATCCTCCTTCCTTCCTTCCCCTTTGTTCAGTCTGTAGGTGACATCCTGGCTCCACTGAAATCAATGTGATATTTTTTCTCCATTGATTTCAGTGGGGCCAGGACTTTACCGGTAGGTTTATATATTGAAAACTCCAAGTCATTTAAAATTAAATAAAAAAATAGAACTGCTGGATGTCCAGTCTGACATATCTGCCAACAGAGAACAATGGGAATTGCTGCAATAGTCGATAACATTGGACGTGGCACATTGCCACAGACAATCACTATCAATTAAATTCCACCTACTTGCCTTTAAAGCTACTGAGCACTTCCCCACCTAATAAATCACACAGTCGAAGTTATTGTTGAACTGCATATCAGTCAACAATAAACCATATGCCAAACAGGGCAAGTTATTTATTACCCAGCCATGGACAATAATGAATAGACTCAGATTTTATAAAGAGCAAAACAAACCCAGCCCTCACCCTCGAAGGATCATACCATGTTACTAAATTGTGTAATTAATCATGTCAGTTGCACAGCCACACAGAGTTTTTTCAGTTGGTGGAATTTCAGTTATGGAGGGTTATTTTTTATGCTCAAACCTACAAGGCTGCAATTTCTGAGCAGCAAATGTGAGATAAATGGTGTGAGTGTTTGGTTTACTGAAGGGGTCTTTTTAACATATGGAACAAAATGTAATGGGATTCTGTTTGAGCTCTATAACCTGCTCCATACAGAGCATGCTACTAAATCGTATTGCTGAGCTAGAGGCTAAAAGCTAACAAACATAAGTGAATAAATAAATAAAGGTCTGTTAGCAAGGAATTCATATTTCCTAATTTTTCTAGAAAAGTAAAAGTTGAGGCACTTACTGAGTGGAAGGATGGTTTTGTGGTTAAGGTATCAGACTGGGACCCAGGGAGACCTGGGCTCAGTATGTAACTTTATCATGAACTTTTTGGATGATGGACAAATCACTTAATCTGTCCGTATCTCAGTTTTTCATCTGTAAACTGAGGATATTAATACTTTCACTCTTGTTTAATTAGATTGGAAGTTCCTTGGGACGGGAACTGCCTATTACTAAGTGTATGTACATCACCTAGCACAATCTCAGTTGGGATCCCTAGGTGTACTGTAATACAAATTAAGAGTAGTAATATACTGGCATGCTAAATTTCTGATGCTTTGTTACTTCAAATTCAAATGCTGAGCTTCTTAAAATTAACCTCAATATATTATTAGACCTGACTAGTCTGTATGTGTCCATTTAGTAAGTTCCACTTGCACAACTTTAATATAAATCAGCCCCAACCCAAGTCTGTAGATCTGTGGTAGTGACAATTTGCAGCAAGAGCAAATTTTCCCCACATCTTCCATGGGAAATCCTATGTGCACTCTGCCATCCTGTCACACACAGAGACCCGATTAAGCTACACGTTTATGTCAAAATCAATAAAGGAAACACAATATGTGCAGTGTCAGCACCCTCTGCTGACAAGAAACTGTCTACACGTTATGCAGATATTGCTCAGGACAAATTAAGAACATTGCTGTATGCAGGGTTGTTGTAACCATGTACCCAGGATATTAGAGGGACAAGGTGGGTGAGGTCATATCTTTTATTGGACCAACTTCTATTGGTGAGAGAGAGAGAAAGAAGCTTTCAAGCTATCCAGAGCTATTGCATCCACTTTTATTTTACTTATTAAAATCATAGGGGTTAGCAGTAGAAAATTACAAGCGCCTGTCAAGTATCCCCCCATACAAGGGGGAGAACCATGCCCAAACAGATGGGCATATCCATTAATCCTACTCAGGATCTTGCGGGTGTATTAATTCTGATGAATGTGCTATACCCCATGCTAAGTGTGGTGCCAAGATTTGGGGGAGTGCAGTGCTCATGAAGGAAAGCAACTGGGTGGGCAAGTGGGGATGCCCTGTGGGATGGGGGGGGGGCGAGTGGGGGATGCCCCCACCTCTCAGAGCCCCTATGCTTCCCCTCCCCAGTCTCCTGCTCCCCTTTGTGCCCCCTCATAGGAGCCCCCTGCTGCCCCCCCCCTTTCTCACTCTCCAATTGCCTCCTCCCCCCACAGCTCCCTGCCTCCCCCCTTTCAGTCCCCAGGAGTCTATCACCAAATCACCGCAATGGTTCCTTCCACCTTCCCCCCCCCCCAACACATAATGGTTCCTTCCGCCCGTGGCCGTGTCCGCGCGGCGGGGCTGCTGATAAAGTTTTCCCCCAGGAGGCTTCGCGGGCTTTTGCGGCTTCTCGCGAGAGTTCGCAATCTCGGCCGCTTCCCATGATGGCGGCTCCTGCTGCGGCTCCGCCGGCTCCCGCCGAGCCCCGGCTTCGCACGCGGGACGTGCTGATCCCCGGAGGCCCGGCGGACTTCGGGTCGCTGCTGCTGTCGGCCCCGGTGCTGGCGGGGCTGGAGGCCGCCGGGTTCTTGAGGCCTTCCCCGGTGCAGCTGAAGGCCATTCCGCTGGGGCGCTGCGGCCTGGGTGAGTGGGGCGCGGGGGCTGGGGCGGTGCAGGGGCTGGAGGGGGTTGGGTGAGGCCGGGGGGCTGGGTCGGG